GGGTGGGTGGGGGGTGGGGGGGTTATAGGGTGGTGTAAGTATTCGGAGGCTCAGCTGTTGCCAATCGATTTGCCTTGACAGTTCTTGACTTAACGTTCATCGGCTATTCCCTCCCTTTTATAATTTCATTCTATACTTTGTACAGCTTGCTTTTGCAAAATTTTGCACATTCCGCGTCTAATATAGAGGTCGATTCACCTATCTTTCATGAGGAAATGCATTTGAAGTTGATGTTGCGCATGTACGTGCTGCTAGTATTAGTGGACTCTTAGCACTTTAATGTAGAGTTTTATGGAAGGTGGTGAGTGAAAATGATTATTTAAGTAAGATAAATGATGGGATTTGTCATAGAATCTGATTTTATATCTTTTGTAAAGTAGAAGATGAAAAGAAATGCTGAAATTGGTATGTAGTGCGCGTAGAAGAAAAAAGAAAAAGAAATTGATTTTATGAAAATATTGAATAAAGTATTATTTTTCATAAGCATGAAGTTCTTTTTTCTTTTTAACGAGTATTGTCTATTTTAATATATATATATATATATATATATATATATATATATATATATATATATTATGTATGTTGAAATTAAGCTTTATTTTAACGATTACGTTTACGAATGAAAATTATTAAACAACACATCGACTTTAACGTCCAATACAAATTCAAATATACATTGTAAGAAAATGTTTTAAAAAAATATTAAATAAATAATTATAAAAACTTATATACGTAGAATGTCTATGACGAATGTTGTTGATTAAATTCTTTATTAAATTATGTATTTCTTTAATAAACGTAATTTTTATTTCAATTTTCTAAATTATTTAAAAGTCACTTAAAACTGAAGCTTAAACAATTTTTTTTATTTATTCATTCGAAATCCACATATAACAAATGTGTTCTACAATTGCTTTTATTATAATAATCGTCTTATTTAATATAATATTCGAAATAATTTCTTTGATGGCAAGAGTGATTAACGTTATTTTTTTTGTTTTTTAAATATACGGTTGTATGATATTTATTGATTACCGTACGAAGGAAAGAAGCAGAACGAGGAAAGTGTTGTTTGGCAACGTTGAATCGATTGTATAATGAAACGATGGCAAAATGTCCGTATTTGGCAAAGACAATGCATAAACTCTTGAAAGTGCAATTGCGCTAATAAAGTTACATGTATAATCCAATCGGTTATTTTACTCATTCATTATGTTCCTTCGGGTTTGGCATCTTTTAAATTAATCCTGTTGTTGGAAGCAAATGAATGAATCCGTAGCGAATGAAAATCACGAGTTAGACAAAAATCACCATAATTAGTTGATTATAATATTTTACATAATTTACATAGAAATTGATGTAAAGGAAGAACGACGAGTTAATTAAAATGTAAAAAGTTTTTAATTTTTCAAATTGAAAGAGAAAAACATAGTTAACCAGAGGATTAATCGGGGGATGAAAAATGAATTACATTTAATTACAAACTTAAATATTTTATATTTATTTGAAGGTCGTTAAGGACGTGGGAGGAATGGATGCTTCTAGCTACGTAAATATATCGAATAATGATATTTCCATAGATGCGTTACTACAATCATTTAAAATTGGAAAAAAAAAAGAATTAATTTTACAAATTACTTACGGAATATTTAATCGACAAACGCTTATTACATTTCCGGCTTTGCTTTATTGATTGTAATACCCGTATTCGATGTACTTTAACCTTACGATGAACTTGAATTTGTCGATAACCATCACCGACATTAAACGTGCCTCGTAGCAATTATATTCTATACATCATCGAGACGGTCGTATACATTATTTCATAAGATATTCATCTATCCGTTAAGCTCGGGACTTCGGGCAGTCGAAAAAGTGATGTAAAAAAATAAAATCCCTTTTCTACCTTCATTATGTCAATGTCATTCGAAAACTCGTAAACTCAAATCGAATATTAGTTTCGTACATTGGCAATTATGCGTAAGTAAATAAGGCTTCGGAAGATAGTCCTTGAAAATCCGTCGTCAACGCTTAGCCTAATTAAGAATAGGTAAGTGCAATTTCAAACTGTAAAATGCCTCCCTCCACCTTCAAAAGCCGAGTCAGGGACAATCGATCCCAGCGTCACTCCGAATAGAGGCATTTTCACGCTATCACGGATCATCGATTAATAAATACCGCTTGAGCGTCGATGCGGCAGCGTATCAATTAACCCGCTTTTCGCCTTTTATTTTCCCAGCAGTCCGACCAAAGGCAGCAGCAAACTCGAGATCCTGGCGGGCGTCAAGTCCCAGGTGGCTTCGTCGATGAGCGGTTGGCTCAGCGGCGGCATCTCTGGACTCAATCGCGGCGGGAGCGTACCAGCCGAGGCCGACCTCCAGCAGTCCGAGGCTTCCGAAGCGGCGACGCGGGATCTTTCAGCCACAGAACACGTAAAAGACGATGACGCAAGCAGGTGGGTCGCAGGGTACGTGACAGCGGCCAGCCGTACTCCGAGATTGTCTTCGACGGGCCGACAACTTTTCTCTCTCTTTCTCTATCTTTCTCTCTCTTTCTCTCTCTCTGCCGACCCACCCATTCACCCACTCACTCACTCACTCAGTCACTCACTCACTCTCTCACTCTCTCACCCTCTCACCCTCTCACCCTCTCTGCCTCTCGATAGCTCTTTCTTCAATCACTTAGTTGATTTTGCACCCTTCGTTTACAGTTTATTTTATTTATTTATTTATTTTTTCTACTCTTTTCAAGATCTTGATATTACGTATTCAATGAGCTTCTAAATTTATTTACATGTTACTTCCGTTTTTATATTTATTTGCTCCTTCACTCATATATTGTTGATTGTTTGATATGTTCCTCATATAGATAAGACTTGTACATATCGTATGAAGTATATATCTTACTTCTTAATGCACAAATTCATTAAAATTACACATAATTTGCTGCTCCTGTTTTTGAATTTTAGTCTATTGGTGTTTTATATAGATGGATTTTAATGAAAGAAATTTGTCAAATGTGCCTCTTATTTTTAGGTAAATTATTCGCTTTCTAATGAACTCTCGGATTACATTTTAACATTTTTGTTAAATTAAAAATAAACTCTCATTTATTTACATTAAATAAGCTTTTCTTAAGGGTTATGCTCTTTGAGAATTTCTTATATTTAATTTTCTTTCAAATTGTATGAATTTCATATTAACTTGAATAGATCAAGGCATATAAATAATAACTAATTTAACATTTCTAATTTAAAAACGCTTTGTACGAAATTTAAGAGACTAAAATTTAAGTATAACGCTTATGTATAATTAATGAGTAATTACAAGAAGAGAGTAGATTTAGTTTATTTAATTCCTGATTGAATGAAAATTCATTTATCATAAGCATTGTACGATTTCGAAAAATTGCGAAAACGTGTAAGCAATAATTACTTTTACAATACTTTATAGTTCATTTTTATAAAAATTTCACTCAAACAGGATATTCTCGTTTAAAACAATATTCTAACTATTTCTAAAGATTTTTGATAGCAATAAAATTTAATTCCATGCACCTACGGCTTATTACGATAAAATTTTTTTTTTTTTAACGGCTAGTGAAGTTTTTATAATTAAAGTCTATTTTTAGATGATCTTTATTTAGTATGCAAATTAGTTCGAAAGAAATTGTACTATATATTATCAATTTAATATTAATGGCAAATTTAAAAGTGCAAGCTTAGCTTTTCTCTTTAATATTCAGTAATTTGCAAGCAGCAGTTGTTACACGCTATAGTTATTGCAATAAAACAAGACTTCCTACAATACAATTAAGATTCTAATTTACGTTATCTCTTGCTCGACGAAAAATATCCACGCTATTTGTGGAGGGATCGTAAAGTTTAATAAGCCTGCTTCATTTGTGAAAAGCGTAAACGCTTTTTATAACTACCCTTTAAATCTTTAGTAGTATAGAATATTTTAAATAATTAAGAATTAGATGATACGGATTTTAAAGACGCGGTTTAATTGATGTCAAGCTATCGTGGCGAGCATAGCGATTCGACAATAAACAGTAAACAACTATCTAGGAAATATATCAAAAGAAAGAAATATTTTATATGTCACTCATTTATATTACCTTTCTATTTTATAAATTGACACCTGGAGATAAAAATATCATGTTTGACAATTACAAATATTACGAATTACAAATTACAGAACAATTGTAAAATTTCTTACCGAGAAAGCTTTTTTTAAACAATAGTATGAAAAAAAAGTACACGGATAGTTTATGTTTTGCAAATGTCTACTTATAACAATTCCTTTTATAGAAATGACTATTCAACTAGATTGTCGAGGGAAATTTCATAATTGATAATTTACTTAATGGTAAATTAAGAAAACAGAAAAAAAAAAAAAACTATTTTTTGTATCAAAATGAATTTTCTTGCATATAAGATAAACAATTTCTTGATATATGTATGATATTGTCATAATATTTTATAAAATTTTTATTATTTAAATAAATGTTATCTCGTTGTAAAGATTCTCGAATTATCTAATCGAAACGGCATTACTGTTTACTCAATTTTTTGTAATATAATATTTTCCTTTTCGGTACGAAATTTTCTCTACTATCAGCCAACTTTAATACGTATTCTCATATTCCGTAATGAAAGAAAATTACATCAAGAGAATTAAAATTTTTAATTATATGGACATAGATAAAATGACGACGTTTTATAATGAAGTTAGAAGTTTATTTATCGTATCTTGACTGGGCGATTCTACAGCAAATAAATAACATTAATTACGTATAAACGATAATTACGATGTCACTCAATTAAGCTCTCAATAGTCACTTACTAGAAATGAACACAATGAAAGTTTATTTAATATTATTCGGAATCTCACATTGATCTAATCTCTCAAAAATTGAAACTTTCTTTCAAAGTGTAACTAAATCACTGTGCTCTTTTCATTGAATTACATTAACTAATTTTCCTAATTCGGACGTTAATGATGATTAACAAATTTCATATTAATAAATATTCTAAATTATCGATAACTAAATCATTTTCTAATCCCTAAGAATTTCTATTTATACTCTTCATTCTCAATTGCATTTTATAATTACGATTTCGTGATTAGGCAACTCGAGATTGTATCGATATTTTAATAATTGAAATTTATCAGTAAAACAAAATATTATGTAACACGCGCATTTTTACAGTAAAAACAAAAGTCTTCAAGACTCTTAGTACACAATTATCTTTCGTTGTTTTTGTATTCAAACTTTTAAACGTAGTTCAACTCAAATAAGGTAAAAAATTTATAAAATATTCGTAAAGTAATAACGATATTACGTTAAAAAATATTCAGACTTTTTTTACGTCGATTTTCTAATTCTCATTTTCTTGTTTTTTATTGTTTTTATTTCCGATCATGCAACTTCAAATCTGTAAGAGAAAAGGTTGCAATACATTAGCCTGACATTTCAATGTTTTTTTCTTATGAAGAAAGCTTAAAAGAAAATCGCCGATATTTATAATACATATAATCTTAATAAATATTAAGTAACAACGTACACGTAATTACCATCTTTTGTTACATTAAGAATTGAGTTTCAAAAGAACATGAAGAAGATTTTTATCCATACAGAACTGCCTTGTTCCTTAAGCTTCAATAGTACTGCAAATTTTGTCAGACACTCAAGTATTCAATTAAAATTCTACAAATCGCCATTCTTTCTTATGATAAAATTTACACTTTTAGCTGGACTTGCTATTAATTATATATATATATATATATATATATATATATATATATATATATTAATAAGTGAGCTTTTTTTATATAGTTGACATCATGCTTATATCTATGTGTGTACGGATGCACGTGCAACTACACGATTTAGCATTTTTTTTTTTATATATTGGAAATAGACTAGATGCTCGTTGATTACTCATTGGCATTTGATGTTTTTAGTGCGACTGGCGGAGCAGATAGTGGCCCTGGAAGTCTCGGAGGTACGCCAACCGAAGATAAGGATGGTCAGCAGGCTTTCGGTGCTGGTAAGTTTATAGTCTTTTCGCGTTAATAATACTTTTTGTCGTTGAATTTTCAATTTTCTCCCAATTCCACGACTCGTATTATCAAATTTATCATAGAATTCACAAGTACTGTGAGAGAAAATTTTGTTAATCTTGATTAATCTTTGTGAAGATTATGTATGAAATAGAGTGAGAATCGAATTATAAAGCGTTTAAAGACTCATTTAATAAAATATTTGAATTTAATCCGTACAGCAGAATTTTCCTCTCGTATATTATTAGTAGTTGCGCACATTAAAATTTCTTTTAAATTAAACATTTTTAAGGGTATTTAGATATATACATATATATATATATATAGAAATAAAATGTATTAATCGCGTAATTTATCCTTCGTAATCGTTTATTATTTTATTATTTGTTGCAGTGTCGACGAAAGCACTCGCAGGTGCTAAAAGTTTGGGTGGATTTTTGTACAGCGCAGTGAACAAAGCTGGCAAATCCGTAGCTGTGGCTAGTGCTAAAATTAAGAAAACCGTTGAGGAAAACGTGAGTCTCTTTTTGTCCTTGTTGTTTTAATTGTCGTCCTACATTACACTTACGCTTATCGATATATGTTTTGTAATTTCTTTTAAGAATTAAGAGTATTCGAAAGTCGGAACTGTCTTCAACCATCGGTTGTATAAACCTTCGTATCGTTTTAAATTTACAAATGGATATTTACGTGAACTGTATCAACGGTATTAAAAAAAAAATCTTTAATAATCTTTAAAAAATATATTTAATAAACGATCTATGCCTTTTCTTATATTAGTTAGTCTCGTAATAAAAATTGATACCTTGTTTGGCAACTTTTTCATTTTCACATCGTCCACTCGGGAAATGATAGTCACAGGATATATAAAAACAAAAATTTAAATAGTAAAGAAAACTATATTAAAGTTCTAATTAAAGTCCCCATATATTTGTAGGTGATATGTTGTATATATTTTCCTTTGATGAAATATTGAATTATAATCATAGAAATTTTAATGCAGATTTTAATATAGATATTAATTTACTTTCTTAACATGTTCTTGTAAATATATAAATAAATGATCACACGAACATTCAATATGTCAATTCGTTGAATCGAATAAAAGTTTTATAAAATAATATTAGATTAGTATTTACAGTTATATTGAAATTTATCGCAATGCAATATAGATTATAATTAATTTGAAAAAATATTTATCTTTAAAATAACTTTTTTTTTTTTTTTTTTTTTTTTTTTTTTTTTTTTTTTTTTTTTATCAAAGCATATTTTTAGTTGTGTGAATTAACATTATGTCAAATCGAGTGAAAAGTTTACGGCTAACTAATGGGATGTAATTTATATTTTAAAAAGTTTTTCTTGTCAGTTCATTGTTATTTTTTAAAACGATACGTATTTTAAAATCGAATTTGAAAAATTTGTCAACGACATCTAATGTCAGAATATTCATTTTAGTATTTATTTAATACATTTTGTGTTAAGAAGTAAAAATTAACAAGTTAATTTTTAAACTTAATTAAGTATACAGTTGGATATATATTATAATTGTTATTATATAGATTGAATTATGTACATACACTATGACATCAACGAATTTTTAGTGTTAAATAAATACGAGATTTTTAAGCATGCGTATTTGATATTATTATATTTTATAATATTTATAATTAAAATATTCCGTAGCATAATTTAAGCACATCAATATATATATATATATATATATATATATATATATATATATATATATGTATATGTATATATAAATTATATAAATTTATCATGTATGTATGGTAAATCAAATGTATCAATATATACCGACGGATCGAGGCTACTTTAAAAATAATATTTATATTAACAATTTAATTTTTTTACTTCTTACTTATTCTTATTTAATTATGAGATTTATATAATCATAATATTCGTATACATAAGTAGACTGTGCACTTGTTTCGTTAAATAAAAAATGATTTTGTTTCGTGTACGCGTCAAATGTGCCCAATAAACACAATCGTCTGTATGTTTTATAAAGAATGTACATAGTATATAATTGTCATTAAAATTATCTGTATTGAGTTCAAATAATAATAATAAAGAAAACGTAACGAGTATAGAAGTTTGTCATTCTTAAAGTTAAAAGATTGAAAATAGAAGTAAAGTTTTTGGAAGGGAGATTGGGAGATAGTGGATGAGAAACTTGGAGAAAGGGTTATTATTACGCCGACTAGTAGTAAAATTTTTGAAGACCTTATAAGTACATTAAGAATTTCCTTTAAGCGACGGAAGTCTGGAAACCGGTTCATTAATTTTCGTTATAGTTGGTTCGAAATCGTCTGGCTACCGACTTTAGGTGCATTGAGTTCTTGGATTTTAGTTTAGTTGAAGATATATCGATGATATTTGTTCGCTTGTTGAGTTTCGTTCCCGGTTGATGAGTTGAAATGGAGTAGAAGACGAGGGAGGGCTGCATCGGAGTCGAGCTGATTTAGTGATATTCGAAATGAACTAATTGAACGAAAAGAGCATTCATAATTCAATTCTTCAGCTACTGAATTCACCGGCTTGGTTCGACTTGGCTCAGCACCGCCATCTCCTCTCCTTTTTCGACCCCGATGTTCAACTGGGCCGCGAAGCAGGAGGAAGGGGGCAGAGGCGTAGGTGAGACGACTGCCTAGAAAAGCGCCCTTACCCCCCCCCCCCGCACCGCCCCGCCCCAAGCGACCTTTTGCTTAGAGGTGACCCACGCTTCACCAGCATCGTAGCTATTACACGTATCCCTCCCTCTCCTCTACCATCCCTCCGCTTAACGTTGACAATTGAACTCCTTGTCCTTTGTTAGTTGCCAACCCTCGCAATAGGAAATAAAACAATTAATAAATTGTACTACAAAATGAGAACGTCGAATTAATCATCTTTATTAATTTTCATTTATTCTCCGATAATTCTGCGTCAATACAGTAGTAAAAGGTATGTTTTTACTGGCAGAAAACAAATTCTAGTGAATTTACGATAAGTAAATCTCATGCTACGTTTCTAATTTTTATTATTCTTACATTATTTAAAAATATCTGTATTTATTATGTGGATAGTATATTATACTTGCCAATTCGATATTTATAATTAAGAATTCATTTATATATTTGAAATAAAAAATGTAATTGTACATGGTAAGTATGAAGATAAAGTATTCATGTAGTTTCTAAAATCGTTAGTGCTAAACAGAAATTTTTTAATATTATTCTTCGTAGACTATTTTTTAATCAACAATTTCTATTAGAAAGTTAAACATTAAAGATTTATTTACATAATAAATATATTAACTTTTCAACACTATCAACTGAATATTAAATATAATCTATAATAATTTAATATTTTCTAAGCCATTAAATTTTATATCCTAATTTAATGATCTGTAATTGAAATCAATAATTGCTAACTTTGCTATTATAAAAGAAAACTGTAGTAATAATTCAGTTCAAATGATTTAAACAGATGTAAGTTGAAAATATATAGGTGTCATTATATAAAATCACAATATTTAATAAAATGTGATATTGCTATTATCCTGTTTATAAAAAAAAAAAAAAAAAAATGTAAATTTATCTAATTTATCCATGTATTATATATTATTATAACTTTATAATAATATCCAATAATTTTCTTTGATATAAATATATAATAATCAATAATTTTACGTTATGATTAGTATTGAGAAAAATTGAATTGATTTGTTCGTAAAATTTCTAATACGAGTTATAATTAGTAATCTTAAAATTGGGAATATTTTTGAAAAAATTATTGACGCGTTCAGCTTCTTTAATTAAATCCATCTTTAAAAGAAAGAAAAAAAAATACATAGTTGTATAATCGTTGTGTTTGTAAAAGTTTATATTTATTACTTTGTAAAATATGAATCGAATCATTTAGTTAAGTTCTTAAAAGTTGATTTTATAATTTGTATAACTTTTATGATCTAATGTTAGCCAATGAATGCATTAATTTTATAATGGAATAGATGTTTACGTATTGAAATTAAAATGAATTATAATTTAGAGTAAATATCAGTGATATCGTTCAAATAATTGACTAATAAAATTTTGCGTTAAAATCTTAGATGTTGCTTATAACTGTAGAATTTTTTATTGCGATTTTGTATTTATTGATTTTAAAAAATAAATACGCTTCTGATATTGAAAAATTTAATATATATTGAATATAAATTTAATAATTTATTAGTATCAAATGACATGTAAAAATATGGAAATATCGATGACAATTTTATGTTTATTATCAAATTCATAGTCCTTTATATTATCGAATAAAAAACAAAAAACAAAAAAAAAAAAAAAAAAAAAACAACAACAACAACAACAACAACAACAACAACAACAACAACAACAACAACAACAACAAACCTACAAAAGTATAAGAAAATTCATTAATATATTTTATTTTTAATGCTTATTACGATTGTATAAATAATGAATAAAACAAGTCCAAATATACATATTGTGCAGTATAAACAAAGAAATTTCACGCACTTTTAATCATAAAATCGGCATTTATAATTTAATAAATTATCGTGACTTGTTTCGATTCTTTCTCAACTATATTTATAATTATCTTGATTAAAAATTAAACTCTGTTTGCACTATGTATTGGATTTTATTTTAGAGCATTATATCGTTGCATTGAAAAAAAAAAATAAGAAGAAAAATTAAATAATTTAATGGTTTTACAAGAGAGATTTGATGATTTGACTCGGAAATCATCCTATTTAAAATTTAATTTCTAACCAGAGAATCCTAAAAATGAACAGCTACACTATAGCTCACCAATCCTTATGCACAGCTGTCTTATCGTGTTGGAAATGAGGGTTATATTCTGGCACTGCATGCAGTAAGGATGAAAACGAGGTCTAGTTTATCAACTACGAGTCGTTAGCTGCAATGTGATCGCGGCCAGTGCTGCCGAAGAATAGGGACAGTTAGTATTGATCCACGAGAAACGGAAAACGAGTTGAACAGAGAAAGGAAAGAGGGATAGATAGATAAATAGATAGATAGAGAGAGAGAGAGAGATACTTACAATGAAGGAATGAGAAAAGATAATTCACTTTTATAATGTGTATTGTCTATTAATATTATTAAACTATGTACACATAAAGAGGCACACAAATGTAAAAAATTCTGGAATTATATGACTTATGTTTACTATGAAATTTTAATGAGTTTTGTCATTTGGCTAATCAAAAACTATAATTCATTGATCAGTTCCAAAGACTTTTTGCACTTTCAAGTAGTTTTTTTTTTTTTTTTTTTTTTTTTTTTTTTTATAATAATATTTGATAAAGTGAAATTCTTCCTGAATGAATGTAAATGGAAGAAGCAAATTTCTTTTTCACAATATCTTTCTACTATCTTTGGAAGGCAATAACCAAGGAAAATGCTTAAAGATATCCGCAAGTGAATAAAAGCTTTTACATTCAAGTCTTAGTTGACAAAACGTACAGTTTAATTTTATTTGTGATTATTTAATTCTTATAATACGTATAAGTAGCAATATAAATAAATTATTCTATAAAATTAAAGTTGCAATATAGTATGAGCACAGTTGCTTTTAATAAGAACATCGTATTGTAGCTTAAATTTAAGGTTGCCACTTCGTTATTGTATATTTTCGCTAAATATGTGAAATTTATATCGGATTGACACGCGGAGTTACCATTAAAGGTCACCACAACCTTCTTTTGCGGAATCCCGAAGATGTGCCAAAATCAATATAATTTTTCATATTGCATCTACACTCTCTGCAATTTTTGTTCGATAAATATTTATATTACCGCTGATGATAAATATTCATCCAGGTATACGATACATCTTAAGTACGCCATGATACGTTCATGTTTTACAATAATACCGAGAATTTACGAAGATACCTTGTGAAGAATTTCTTGTAACATTTTTAGAAACTATACAATATGCCGACAGATTTATCACATCAAAATTCTCATTTTTTTCGTATTTTACTATCTTTACCAATTTACCAAATAACTAAACTAATTTACTTAAATTTAAAAATACAGAATAAATCGAGCTATCCTGTTTGATCAAGTAAATTGCCAAGAAATATGAGCTATTATTTAAATAATTAAATAGTGCAATTATTCTAGAGACACATAAAACGAGAATAGCATAATCCTTTATCTAAACCGACCTACTTTAGGAAAAACTATAAAACATTTTTAATATTATTCGTACATTATTCTATAATATAGTTTTAGATAGAGAAAATTAAGTAAATTATAATAGGCGTGGATGACAAGATAATAACTATTTCAAACGATATCTAAATGCGATAGAATCGTCCTTTGTACTTAGCCATTAGGAATGGCAATGCTTTTGTATAAGATATTAATAATATTTAGGAAAGTTTAAGGACAAAATAGAACTTAAGGGGAGCAGATATTACAGCACTCATATTTACATTACGTAGGATGGGGTTAACGTGCAAGGTAATTTGCGTAGAAAGTATTAATGAAAAGGTATATTTAATAGAGTGAAAAGATGATATGAAAAGAGGAATAAGTAGCTTTTGACATTGGATTATAAATGAGATTGTTAAGAAATTTTGTCCTTCAGTATACAAGCTAAAGAAATTATAATTGGAAATATTGAAATGTGATGAAAAATTGATAGTTGCCTTACGTTTGTATTATTGCAATGAGACTCAAATATTAGTAGATTTTCCTATATTTAATATATTTAATATTCTGATTTCATCGTTTACTAATTATTGAAAACAAGATTTTTATATTAATCCGTAAATTATGAATTATAGATTTCATTTAATAGTAATAATGGCATCTGAAGTATATCGAGAGCTTTTTATTTGCCTTTCCCATAAATTATAATAGATGTCATTTCATTACGAAATTTCTACATTTTATTAAGCGCAATGAAGTGAGAATTAGAATCACTTTAATTACAAGAGCATTAATCTTTTCTTCGGTATTTCAAAAAAATTTATTGCAAAAACTCCTGTTTTCTTATAATTAAATATACCTAATTATACGAAATAAAATAATCTTTTTGTATAATATTTCTTATGTAACTTAAATTTTTAATTTGCTTTCTCTTTACTTGTATCGAGTATAAAACTTGTATTGAGTATAATATCTTTATATATTATCTATATATCTTTTTATTAAACCTTTTTCCGAATATTGTTGTGTGCAATTTTAATATCAATTTTCTTGTCGTTGTGAAATTCATTTAAGCAGACAATAGTTTTGTAATAAATCTATTCTGAACTCCATTTAAAAATAAAGGTTTGCAATATTTTCTCTTATTAAATATGTAACATTCGAAAAGTATGATTGAATTTTTTTATCAATTTTTTATGAACTGTAATATTAAATTTTCTTCATCATTTTTAGAATACGAATTTTTAATTAATTAATTTATTTATTTAGTGAATTAATTTTCGATATGTTTTAATAAATTCCGAAAAAACAATAATTATGTTATCTACCTCTAATCTATGGCCTTTTAAAATTTTTATCTTGTTTATAGGTCTAAACCATACGATGAATATATTTAATTATCGGACAACGAACGCTACGCTGACGTTATAAAAATTAATTCTTCAATGTGTAAAATCAAGACTCGTCGAATCTGATTCAATACGATTATCTGGAAAATACATATTTTCAATCGATATTAAAAATATTATAGATGCATTTTTATATAGAATCTAAATTTTCGAAAAGCATTACATTTACTTTTCATCATGTTTGCCTCATCTTTATTTTAACTGCTAAGATATAAAATCTTCAGCTTTTTTTATTTTTTTTTTTTTTTTTTTTTACAACACAACTTTAAATTTAGCATTTAGCATTTATGTAAATTTTATTTTACATGTTTAGTAAAAGTTAAAATTATTATCCAACATTTTTCGAAATTTCATCATAAATTATATACCAATAGCTCTAAGTAATAAAATACAAATTAGTTTATTTCTTAGCGTGCAATTACTATTTGCATGATTTATTTGCTTACTTATGTTGATGAGAAATTTTTTTTTTTTTCAATTTCAAAGTACTTTTATACGATAATTCCTACACCAAGAATATCTCACCTTTTTGAATTATTAAATAATTTTCATTGTTATTAAGACAATAAGCAATAGCAATATCTATTAAAAGCTATATTTAAAAAAATCTCACTATTATTAAAAGAAGATAAAGCATATGTATATGTAAGTTTACTTGTAACTAATTGTACTTATTTTATAAATATATATTGAATTAATTTACATTTATCTATTTGCACAATAACAACTGAATAAGCGAAACTTTTTTTAATTTCATGATCGTACACATATATAAATCCAACATATCATCAACAATAATGAAACGACTGCATAACACACACGTACGAGGACACCTTAGGTGAATAATCAGGTAAATTAATAATATATGTAATTGTTGGTGCTTATCATGTTTTTGTCTTATGGTCTTCATATTTATGGCATTTGCGACTAAGCCATTCTATACGTCGCATAAAGCTTTTCGCTTGCAGTCAAACACAAAAATGTGTTAGCATATGATTGCGTCGTCTCAGAGATCAATCATAATAAAATATAAGCAAAACCTAATGCCCCCCCCCGCCGCACCCCCGCACCCCGTCCCTCTTTATTCGCCGAATGACGCTCGTGCATAAGCGCATGTGCGTAGGAGCTTTTACGTTCACGCATTTGAAACGTAATTTTTAATCGAGACAAAATAATATTTTTCCTCCGCTTCTCTTGTTCTTGATTTTCATTTCTATTGTTCTATATTCTACTTTAAATCATCAACATTGGAGGAATTTGTTTGATAATTTTAAATGAAAGTCTAGTATTTTTATGAAATAGTTTGATATTCATTTTAAAAATTATACGTTAGAATTGCCTTAAGGATGTTACGAGTATAATTTGTATCCGCAGACAGAAGTAATTTCCATAAGCCAAAGTAAAAATAAATAATTAAATTATTCGTTATCCAATTAATTCAAGATGTATCATGCTATTTACTATTATTATATTTAATTTAACACTGCAAATTACGATTGCACTATATTATAAATACATTATTAATTTAATTGGTACGAGGGTTTGCATTAAAGGAAAAGTTAAATCGGAGCTCCAAAAGGAGTAAAGTGTATTTTCCTTTTTTTTGTTTTTTTTTTCAAAAAAGGTCCTTCTGTTTTTGAAAATATTACTTTATTAATATAAATTAACTATATTCATGTATTTTCCTTTTGGCCGAGATTTTAGTAAAGAACTGAAATAAATATTTACAAATCTATTGTAAATCAATAAAGCTTAAAACATTCTATCATTAGAATACTCATTATAACGATGATGATTAAATTATACAATTAAATATTATAAATGTTATAAATATAAATTCGTGTAGTTTAGGAAGTACAGTTGTCTTAAAATAATTCAATTAATGTGAACGAAATGTATTATAATAGTTTGTATTTAAATAAATTGTTATTCATCGATAAAAATGTAATAAATTTTTGCTTGCTTACTAACTCGAAGGTAATAAAATCTTATATATCGTAATGTTTTATTGTCGTATATAACACATAACAATAAACTTGAATAAAATCAACATATACCATTTTCGTAAAATCAATTGATATTATTCTATTCATTCTTCGGAGAACAGGTATTTGTTAGATTTTTGTATGAATATTTATCTTAAAATTTATTTAATATCGTTGAAAAGACGTTTTCACATATTTTCGGCATGCAGCTTCAGTTAGCAAGAATTTATATTACGAAAGTTAATATTTCATACATAAACGTAAAAACATATATATAGATTTTTTCTATTGGTTTTTGATTTGGTATGCTATTATATAAAGAGCTGTAATATTAATCAGCTCTAACTAAAATAAAATGTATTTTGAATAGTAAATTGAATAAATTGACATTCTTTGGTTAAATGGATTCTAAAAATGTTGGTAAAAGTAGAACACGAAACATAATGGAGAACCTCGGAGAAATAGCTCGTGCCAATGAGAATAAAGTGCACATGGCTAAACATATAAATATTTCGTTTATCGGAAATAAACACTCGAGATTATAAAACAAATACAATTCAAGAATTTCAATCGGACTCTTCATAATTTATAATTCCTTTTCTAATTTAACTGTTGAAAATTTCCAATTTCCAATCGCTTTAACATTTCATATATTAAGGAAATAAAATTCATTTGATAAATTAAAGAAATAACAAAATATTTAATAATAATATTTTTGTAATTTTTAAAAAAATTTAAATAAATAATAGCGCTGTTTAATCAAGTAATTTTAATTATTTTTCTATATTACAATTTTATAATTAGATCTTTATAATTTTCAAAATATTATGATGATTTCACTTACAATCAATATAGTATAATAATATTGGACTGAAAACATTTATTTCAAAAGTCGACTCGTATTCTTTGATAAATTATCAAAATGTTTTTAACATTAAAAAAAAAGTCTTATTTGTTATTAAATATAATATGGTTTACTATATTATATGAAATATATACTATACTATACTATATGAAACACTTTGTTATTTTTAGATTAATTTAGAAAACAACATATTTTGCTTCATTTACTTGACAGATATTTTTATTCAAAGTTTCACTTTGTATAACATACAATCACATAGATTATATGAAAGAAAAAAATTTGTACTACATCGTTTTGAAATTGACTTTAGGAGAGACAAACAGGAAGGAAATGCATTTCTCTAAATGAAGAATTTTTCTTTATTAATTTCAACAATCTTTGTGCTTTATTATCTTTAGTTTGCGATGTCCCCTATAAGACAGATTACGTATAAATACTGATTTATATAAATAAATTATATATATATATATATATATATATATATATATATATATATATATATATATGCCATTCCTGATACTTAATATATATTTAAACTTGACTTTAAAACACTTATAGTTGCTAAATTATTATTTAGTTGTAATTTTAAAAATGAAAAACGAAGTTTAATACATATCTTTTATATTTTATATTGAGTATTATGAAAGTCAATACAAATTATAAACCCTTCGATTCGGATTTTACATATTATATTGATAAAAGTACATAAAATTTATCGTAAACGATAGCTTATTGATATTAACAATTATTACAATAATAATAAAATATTTTATTATATACAATATATATATATATATATATATTTTTTTTTTTATTGTAATAAAATGTATTATTAATTTTAATTTATTTTTATGTATTTTTTTTATTATACTATAAATTCAAGCAAACTATGTAAGTCTTTTATTAAAAGAAAAAAAAAAAAGTCATTTATAAAGTAGCAAACTTTTAGGATAAACATAGAATTTCATTTCTTTTCTTTTATAGTTTGACGTAAGAATTTTTATACTCCATTGTTAAATTTTAAACTGTAAAAATATTACATGAAAATGTTATAATTAGAAAAGAAAACAATTTATTTCTTCAGAAATTAATATTTTTAAAATAAAGTAAAATACGATATCATAATAAAAGTAAATTATAATTTTTACGTGATTTCTATTCTCTTGCTTTAATCGCATAGACTAATATTTATATTTTTTATCGTGCTTTAGGAATTATGTATATTTAAATTTTTAGCTAAATAAATAGATAATCTCGTTTTCAAGCAAATTTACAAAGATTCAAGTATTAAAATTTTTGAAAATATTATAAACTTATAAATATTTTAACAAAAATAATGCTATTAAAGGCAGAATGAAATAGTGTTTTAAATTTATATTATTGAATTGCGAATTGTGTTGATCCTTCATTATAGAATGATTAAATTATAATATATATATATATATATATATATATATATAAGTGTACGAATTAAATTTATTAATTATTAATCATTCTTTTATATAATTACATTCATACGTTTAGTATCTAAATAAAGTAAAGAAAGAAAATTTTGAGAAGAATGCACTTAATATGATACTTTTTATTTAATTATATATATACTTTTATTAAAGTAATATTAATTATGTTAGTTAATTAATACAGTTCAGGGGTAATGATAAATGATGAATTAGAATGTGAATGTCGGTCGGAGAGCTGTAAATAAATTGAAAAATAAAGTTCCAAAACCAAATAATTAAGATAAGTGTACAAGTATAAAGTTTTAATTGTCAATAATGGTTGGTAGGAATTATAGCTCTTGGAAGAGCTAATTTACTAATTTCCTGTTGGTAAGGTCGGGCGGGTGACATTGCGAGAAATTGAAAGCATAAACCTCGTAAACGATGAAGCGAATTCATCGATGACTGTCTGGCTCTTGGCACCAAGTGACGTCACGCGGTTACCTATCCAGTGTATCATCATGTAGGTCAGGACGGCCCGAGTTTTTTTTTTTGACCCACATTCGCAAGCCACGAGCTTTGAGCTAAGCATTTCACCTGCTCACTTTCCACCTTCCATTGATCCCCCCCCCTCCCCACCTTGTCAAAACCGCGGATCTACGAGCTTGATTTCCGAATTTGTTTTGGTATAGAGATATTAGTGAGTCTGGAGCTGCAGCCTGGACCGATGGCAATTCATGCGAGTGTATATTATTGGCTGACGCTTCGTTGCGCAGCCGAATTGAAAATTATTGAATTGAACCGGAGTTATATGAAATTTCGTAAGCTGATTGCGTGTTTTCATCGCCGCTATCGGTACCATTGTCCAAACGGACAATATTGTCAATCCATTGTGTTGTCGAGTGGATGAAAGCGAGTGTAAATTTCATTGGGAAGCAGTTTTGGCGTGACGTCCTATTACTTTATTATTGATATTTAATTTTGAATATGGACATTAAAAAGAGCAGAAAGCTTAGAATTTACGGAACAATATAGGACGTTTAGTAATTGAAAAGGACAATTCAGCTGGACGAATGAAAATTTCTAAAACTTTTTGGGAATTCAAACTGCGTTGTTTTTTTTTTTTTTTTTTTTTTTTTTTTTTTTAATTAAAACATATTGGTAGATGCGATTAGAATATTCTTTACTAATAAAACGTATCGATCAATCAATATTTGATTGATTTATCCAGTATTTTTTTCCTATAATCGGTAAATAGTCGTGTAAACGTATGTGGTAGGAAATATTAGTAAGTCCATTACTATTTTCGGATGGATACTGTATTTATATAATGCCCGCTTTTAATAAATAATAACAGTTTCAGACATATCTAACCTTATAAACGAGTTAAGTAATAAAGTTACCAACACATTAAATATTTAATGCCTGTCTAGTGTATGATGTTCGAATGTTTTAAACTATTTTTATTCAACTGGTAAATTCGTAAATTTCTGTCATTAATTCATCTTACGTTTTTTTGATATACAACTAGCTATAATTAAAGAAAGTGAGATTATAAAATTAAATTTATAATTAAAAAAAAAATTGCTTTCAAGTTGTAATATTATTATTTGTCATATTATTAGCCTATCATATTATTTATAAGATCGTTTCTCTGAAGTTTATTCATTGGAATAATTATCATGTTTCTCAAACAAAATAAAGTATATCGAGCAAGAAGAATATTGTTTATTTAACGGAGTGAAGTAAACACGTAAAAAAAAGAATAAATTTTAAATATAATTGGCATAGCATATAATATTGGGAATGAAATATACCTAAATATAATAATATACCGTGGCAATGGAAAATTTTGTTGAACATTTTAATGATAACGAAATAATTTGCCAAAAAATTGGATAATTATTTTTTTGTAACTTTTGTTTATTGAATTTAAATTTACATTCAAGTTTTGTTGCATATTTACGTTCTAATATAACATTGCGAAAGCCTGTAACAATGAGCGTTTATTTTTCTTATATCCTATTTTTTTTAATACATGTAGTGAAATGGAAAGAAAATATGAGTAACGTCATTGCATGAAATCGGCTTTTCTTGACTTCGTGCTTTATCCATATTCTATTTATGTGGTTTTCTTGTTATTTTTCTTCATCTCAACTAATGTTGCTTACGTGACTCTTTATTATCTAATTATCTTGTACAACTATAATAACGACCATGATTTGTTTCTTTTTTTCTTTCTTTTTTTTTCAATGCCGTCATTACTAGATTTATATGGAACAGGACATACGTCAGGTAAGCAGTGGCTCTTTTTTCTAAGTTATCTCCAAGTTTTCCGACGTCTTTTTCAATTGCCTTCTTGTCGTCATTATCTTAAATTGCGCTACAGAACAAACAACTCGAACTGGGTTAAACTGCCTCTCCTCATCTTTTTTCCTCCTTTTACTCTGTTGATTTTTCTAAAAGCTTACATTTTATATAAAATTGACGAGCTCATCATTATTATTATTATTCTTATACATCGATAAAAAAAATTCTATAAATTTTTTATCTTGAAATTATCATGTTCTTTTACATGAAATCGTAATTATTTACATAATAGAGACTAGTTACCAAGACATAGAATTCTAGAATATTATAGAGTATGATATATGTAGTGCGGGAATTGAGAATTGACGGGTACGAGTAATTATATTCGCCATGAATGAAGTTTACACCTTAAAAGCAATTTGTTAATCATAAACATACGATTAATTATCCAAAATGTAAATTATTCAGATTAATAGCGTTCGTACCAATAAAATCAACAATAGTTAAGATTAGATCGGTTATGTAACTTTTAATAAAGGATTTAACAATATAATAAAATACATACAAGAGGATAACAAAAATTTGCTCATTATCGCATATCAATCAAACCTTTTGTTCAACAATTTGTTCATTTTTAATGATATGCCATTTAAATTTGGGTTGCTCGCATTGTTATTACATGGATTATAATATTTACAATTGAATTTAATACTTATAAATAGATGTTTTAATAATGTTAGGGGAGCGGAAATTAATTTTTTAATGACATCGAAATGTAGCCTTAACAAATACATTTCAAATAAAATTATTAGCCGTTTCGATAGCTTCCTCTATGAAAATTTTCAAATTGGCCGAAATCTAATAATAATCGATTGCATTGCCGCAAGCCGCAAGTCGCAAGCCGCAAGCCGCAAGTTGTATCGACTAAAGTGACAATACAAGTTAAACAAGGAAAAATAAAAACCGAACACGAAATTTTAACTAAATGAAGACTGCAGCTTGAATTGTTATAGACGCAACAGGAGCTCGTCTAATTCAGAGAAAATCCTATACCCACACCACTACGCAATACTCTACATCTATACATGCGTGTAGAATATCATGTTTCCCTTATAATTGGATATGCGCGTCCCGTGGTATCTCCAAAGTTGTCACGAAGGGATTTACGAGGGCATACTTTACAATGTTTCTCAATCGCTTCAATAGTAATGAAAAAATTTATTGGTTATTAGTTTGGATTATTGCTCCTTAATGTATGTGATATTCGTGTACTCAGTACAAACAAGCAAACAAACAAACAAACAAACAAACAAACAAACCAATACACGTTACGAGTAATGTAAGATAGATAAATTAAGTATAGGATGGAAATTAGTTTTATAAAATGTATGATTATTTTAAAATAATTGCTAATAATACATTTTATTTGATCGAAAAAGGAAAATACATTTTTAAAAAAATATGCGAAAGTCAACAAGAGAAAAATAATATATATATATATATATATATGAGATATAAATAGAAAGGATTTATTATTACGCCATTTCAGTGTTTTTATCAAAATGATATATACTATATATTATATTTTCTTATCCCCCCCTCTCTCTCACTCCCTGTCCATCTACATCTCCCTCTCCCTCACCCTTTTTCTTTTGAATCAATAAATGAATGTTTCTCTTCTCAAAGTTCGTCTTTTTCCATCTATATAAAATAAAATAAATATTTTTAAAAAGTATTTTAAATAAGTTTTCGTGTCTCACATTAAGTAGCAAAATTTTCTTCACCTAAAAATTAGAAAATTCTATCAATCGAAATGATTATAGATAAAATAATATTGCGTCTATTTTTCGTTTCACTGAAACGTAATTCAACATATACATTCTTTTACTCAATAAAAATAAAAATAAAAAGTTATATGTTCATAAATAATAATTATCTAAGAAAAGATTTCTGTTGGGAAAAGATTCCGAATGGGCCTATTCCATTAATTTTACTAATAAATATCAGAAAGCTTTACTTTAATATCAGAAAAAACGTACGTAAGGAATAAAACATTTAATATATTAAATTTTGGCGTGTTAATGATAAAAAAAAAAAAAAAAAAATAATGCATAAATCTATAAAACTTCTTGTAACTTTACATATAATTTTTATATTGATTTATACTTTTCAAATGTACCTATATTCCCATCAAATCCATAAACTCGATTTATAAACTCGATCGATCAACTTATTCATATTATCGTGTTTCCGATACAACGTTTCAGAATTTATCTCAATTAAACATAAACTGTATTATGATCGTTTGGCATGAATGTGAGTATCGTTTTAATTGTGTTGGTAATGATCGCTTCCTTGTCATAATATTTAATTTATATTTAGGCCTTTGCGATAAATTAATTACCATTAGATAGTACATGCATTATAAAACAATCGACTATTAGCCATGTATTTATTTATGTTTTTCTTCCTTTAAATTAAATGTCGTTATCAAAGAATACAATTAATTACTATTTTTGCTGGGTGATGAATATAGTCATATTTTTATAAGTTAATTCGAAATTACTAAAATCGTGATAAATCTATTTTCTTTTTACTATATTGTAATACGCAATTGTAATAATCAAAGCTTTATGCAATAGTATGTGATATTAATGAATTTTTTTTATTTAATTTATATTAAAGTGTAAATGAACAATGATGGGCTATATTTTTATATTTTTCAAACATATGATATTCATAGTTCAAATTAGTAAGATATCGAAAATATAGATTATCGACAAAGTTGATTGAACCGTCGATAATTTCATTACGTAAGATGAGCCATTAATTTTGTCGCTTAAATTTTGAACAATGATAACTTCGAACATTGCTCAATTATCAAATGAACTAGAAATTAAGCTTTATACAATATACATATATTTATATTAGATAATTTAATAATAATGATAAATAGAATACTTTTGCATAATGTAAATAATAAAAGAATTGTGAATTATATTATTATTATTAACAGGTATAATATCATTCGGCTAACGTATATTGTTTATAATAAATTCATATTAATATAAATTTCTCATAAATTCTATATGACAAAATTAATGTGACGACCTCTTTGTACGCAAAATATTTTTTATTTATTTTTTTCTCCTTGTAAAAAATGTAAATATACTATATACTGTAATAGTAAATAACCATACGAAATATCACTATCAAAAAATATTTTTCCATCTAATTTTCTTAGTTAATATTATAAACATTTTTGTTCTGCGCTGACAATAGAAATTATACTAACTAAAAGCTCGAATTACAATGTTAAATTTCGTTTAAACACTCGTAATTTATTAAGATTTCCTTAAAATAAATTTGACCGTGTATATATTATTTAATGATTAAAAAAAAAAAAAAAAAAAAAAAAAAAAATTGAGTTACCACATTATGGTATTTTTTGACAAATTACCAAATATTGTTGGATCAGAGGTGAAATAAATATTTTATTGACATTGTATCTGATCAAAAAAAAAAAAAAAAAAATTAATGAATCCCTCCTTAAGCATTTGTAAACTAATTTGATGAATAAAATTAATCGTATAGATTTTCATTATAAAAATTAATATAAGAGAATTTCTGTTTTTTGTTTTAAATTCTAATCCTACTCTAATTAATAATTTTATCGCAATAACCAACTTAATATCGATAAATATTTTCATTCTATAAATCTTTCAGTAAATGAAGCTCTTTATTAATTAGTCGCGTATATAATCAATTACATTGTCGTAGAATTATAACCGTACTAATTAAGATTCATTTATGATTTATTGATTTTAGAGACTGATCGCAGAATTGAATAAAGAACAGGAAGCATTTATCGCTGGTAAACCAGGAGAGAAAGGGGAGGCAACAGCACCGTGGGTCGGAGCACCAAATGAGGAAGTACTCCGTGAGGAGTGCTTGGCACTTTCGACCGTAAGTTTCTTTAGTTTTACGTTCTTTTCGTAATTTATGCCTATTGTTTGGTCGATATTTTATTTTCATGGCTCATTGTTTTGTAATTTTCATTTACATTTATCTTAAGTGTACCAACCACATTTTCTTCAGGTTTCTCAATATACAGATGAGAACAGAATTTAACAGATGTTAAAATTATGTGTTAAATAAAAATGACTATGAGTATTGGATCTCCTAGTTTCGAGATATTAATCCCCCCCCATTTTTGTATATATCTAGCTCCTATTTGATTTGAAATAGAAATTATTAAATCATTAAAATACTACGCGCGCACGCACACGCACGCACGCGAGAGAGAGAGAGCATTTCCTCGATATTAAAATATCGTTAGAATTAATTATAACTTAGAGATTAAAAAGAGGAAGTATTAAAAATATTACAATGTGATAAAAATTTCAGTTTCATAATAGATTTTTAAATGCAGAACATTAACATGCAGAATTGAATTTCCAATTATTACATTACAAAGATATTCAGTAATCAAAATTAATAGGCTCCAATTGCATATTGCATTGGCTAAAATGTAAATTGACACTTTAAGCTTCCGAATAAATTGCATCACATTACGATTTATTATTATTATTATCTTTGCTCGATACATTTTTTTCGTCGCTGTGAAGTTTGACTACTCAGCTTAGCAGCACCGAAGCGTCCGCGTGAGCGGCAGAGTCCATTTATAGAGGGAAATAAAGAAAAAAGCATAGAGAATAATTAATAGGGAAAAAGAGGATGTGAATTTCGTGATGTATGCAAATAAACGAATAATAATGCGTATATGGAGTTAAAGGCTTATTGTAGTGGAGATTTATGATGCTTTGTCAAGCGCAAATTAAAATTGTCCTTGTTTATTGCTTCATTCGCTTTGTGTGCGGTTCTGATTTAATTAAAACTAAAAGCCCTGAACGAAAAAGAAGATATAATTAACCTAAATTCGCGATTAGGTATGAAACTGCCATGGAAGCTCTGCAACAGCTATTACGCTAAATACATGATTCGCCTTTCCTTACTGTCACCATTGGTTAATACTCTTAATGAAATTATCACGGTCTTACAGGGTCGACTTTCGACATGAAGTTAGCATGTCTGCCATTTGTGCATAAGTAAGCTATCGACGCTGCTCGTGTGTTCATTGTGCACGTTCTACCGCACAGCTCTAGCGCTTTCAAGATTATTTGCCGCTTGGACGTTAAGTCCTTCCGGCATTTGATAATCGCCAACGACGGGATTATTTCCCACTAACCCCGTTTTACCTCTTTTCTTTACCACCAATTCAGCTTTAACGCAACAGTGTAGATTTCCTATCCAATATGATTGGAATGGGAAATTTTAACGTTGCCATTCGTTGATTCTGGCTGCTTGCGCGTCTTTATTTGCTCTCGATGAATCATCGACTCGCCCCGTCGGTTATAGAAACGTTCAGAGCTAATTAAATTCATTAAAAGAAAAAATATTACAAACGAACAGATTATAAATTATATATTTTTACTATTTATTAAAAATGTCTGGTTGGTACATACGAAATTTAGTTAGAAATTAAAATCTAACTATTTATTTTATATTTATTGCTCACTCAGGCTGCTTTTTTTTTTTGTTTTTTTTTTTTTGTTTTTTTTTTTTTTTTGTTTTTTTTTCATCACTTAGCCTTATTACGGAGAGTTAAAAGATAATTAATTTTTACGTATTAATTATTTTATGAATATTAAAGTACCCACGATGGGCTATCTTTTATTTTATCGACATCAGAACTGAATACTATCGCGTGTATTTAAACATTTGAACAATCAGCTTAACGATCTTCTCTATTTATATGGCATTGTTATAAACTTTATCGATGCACGAGGCTCGTACATAGTTCGCCCATTGCAATAATTAGCAACGACTCACAACAATTCCATCCAAAAGCAATGAAATCATTCGTTTTTCAGGATCGTCGCAATTTTGTGAGAGCACCACCGCCAGGAGTTGACTTTGCCTGGGACTTTGAAGCCGTTCAACCAATGGCCCAAGCGACACTCGCTCTAGATCCTAATTTAGAAACCATGAGGTTCGAATTGGTCCCGAAAGTGTAAGTCTCTCAATATTTCTCATTTCTGTATTTCGTCCTTTATTTGCAAATTTATCTCATACGTAATGTAACAGATTTAGATAATAAAACTGTTTCTTCATAATCATATATTATATTGTATATCTTATGTTTACGTAGAATAATCATCATTCATACGACTTTTGCCTATTATATTGTACATTTATAGTTACTATATTGTCAATTTAATATAAACATTACATTCTCAATACTGTTAAATAAGAAACCAATAATACCAGTAATATTATATTTAGTAGTTTCGTTGGATGTTTTTTATCGGCAAATTCAACGATACGATATATTACTTTATTTGTTTGTTATTTCCATCAAGTTTTAATGCTCTGTGTTTGTCTTGTAAGCAGCCTAGTAATTGGGCTCAGGAATCAGTTGGTCTTGGGGTGCGCAACAACAATAGTGATTCAATTCTTTTACTAAGCAATTGTTTATTTCTGATTTGGCGTAGAATATCCGAAGAAAACTTTTGGCGTAATTACTTCTATCGGGTTTCCCTTCTGCGCCAGAGTCACGAACTCAACGCAATGGCTAATCAGTCGACGGAGAGTAACCCTGTCGATCAGGCGCTTATATCGGGTGACAGCGTAGATCACACTCAAGGTAATTGTGAATCACCGGAACACAAATCAAAAGACAAAACAAACAAATAAACAGCAATTACACATATTTGGATAATAATGTAGCATATCGAGCTCGAGTATCAATATTGTCAATGCATTGCATAATACATGCTCTACTTATATACGCATAAGCATAAGAAATATTTAACGTCCTTCACGTTGACTTTAAACGAACGTACGAGGGAATATTGTATCTGTCATTTATTTCAATTTAATCGAAGGTTATACTATCTTTTTATTTGTCTTGTTTGAGTAAACGTATGGAAATGGAAATTCGGACTTTTATTCACGAAAGTGTGCGTCGAGTTAATTACCATAACTTTTCAGCTCATTATTTAATAAGATTTGTTTCTTATATATGAAGTGTCTTTTCACACTTTATTTACGTTCATTCAAATATGTACAATTTATCTTCGATGATAGTATTTATTTGTTTATTTATTTATTTATTTATTTATTTATTTATATATATATATATATATATATATATATATATATCAAATTAAAATATAAAAAACTGATGTCAAAATTAAGCAAAAATTAAGTGCAACTAAATTCAAAAGGCTGTACATCCATACATCGATGTACATTAATAAAATATAATATTTTATGTTATCAATTTTATCGATAATTGCTTTCCTTTTTTTTTCTTTTTTTTTAATGTACTTTTGCATATATTATGTTTTATAATGTAAAATAAATAATGTTGAAAGTTGTGGTAAACGATTGTTAAAAGTTATTTAAATGAATTGTATAATATCAATATAAGCTTTTAACACAATTAAAAATAATTTATTAACATCGTAAATAGCATACTTAATTACAACGAAATATTATATTTATTAGCTCAGATTTTATACTCTTTTTATGATTGTAAATTTATCATATAATGGTCAATTAATAATAAAATTACGTCAAATTTACTATCTTAGTTAAACAACAGACATTGAAAGTATTATATTATATGTATATATCTAATTGCATACATTTACCATTCAATTAAGAACGATAATGTAATTGACCATTTATTTAATTAGGATATCTTAGTGTGTACGAAAAACGCAATATTTTTTCAATATTTGTGAATTATTATGCATTTAACTTTTCTAAAAATAGAGCACGAGATGTATATTATATTATCGGTGATTGATTTTTCATTTTCTTTTTATCAAATTCAACATTCGAATTACATAAAATTAAAATTCATTATAAAAAATTATTCATTTGTATATCTCGACGAACTCTTTCCGATTACAGTCAACGATAAGAAGTAGAATGAAATATATAATTAAAAAAAAATTATAAAAAAATTGAAATGGTATGGTCTAATGGTAAATATTAATGATACATTCAATAATGAAAGAATTTATACATGCGCATTCGCTTATACACATGGACAGACAGACTTATGTACGCACGCACGCACGCAAGCACGCACGCACGCACGCACGCACGCACGCACGAGTGCATTAATTGTTTAGTACGTGACGAATATTTGAATGAATCGAATTTTTAGTCTACGCCACATACTGACGATGAAAATAATGAATTTGCCGTAGAGTTTCATTAATAGATATTAAAGCCTCGTAAAAAAGAATAAACAATGCAGATATATATTCGCACCGTACGTATCATTAGTCTATCCTTTTTCACTACTGCAGTAGTTAGTTGTAGTGAGTGTTGTCTTGTATTACACGAACAGCTAGTTCAATGGGTCAGTCCGGGGCCGACGGCGTACCGATGGATTCTGACGTCACAAAGGGTCCAGTCCATAACGATGTCGCATTTGATAATGCGATCTCGGAAGTGGATGCACAAGAGGGAATGAAAAAGCTTGGACTACAATCGAATAAAGGTTAGTACATTGATAAGCGAGTCTTTCTGAATTGCTCCCGGTATTGTCTCACGTTCTGGCACGACAATCGCCTAGCGGCCATTTGCCAATTGTCGATCGGCTTATGGAGAATCTCGATCGATCGTTTATTAAAGTATCGTCGCAATTTACATGGCGATTTATGATTGAGTCGCACGCGCATTGACTTAAGCGAATAATTAATTACATATAGAATGGTAGGTTGAAGAGTAGTGCTAAATTTATTGATACAAAAGAGACAGTTAGGGAGTGAAAGAAAGGCAAGTAACATAATAATCTAACATTCAACATAGTAGGCTGGAAAGTACGTGACACCGAACCAAAATTAATTTGTGAGTATTGCAAATATTCGTATAGACATTGTACGTATATGATTTATGTAAGTCTAAAAGAGTTGAATACACAATATTGTACGTCATTTCCTGTTAATGTTCATTTCTCCATAGCATTCTTGTTTGAATGATTGGTAATTTACCTTATGGTCATCGTTGTCGTCGTCATGACCGTTATCATAATCATCATCGTCGTCGTCGTCATCCTCATTATTTTATTTATTCCACATACTAATTTTGTTTTCTTCTTCTTCATTTTTTTTTTCCTTCTTTTTTCTCCTTTTTTACTTTTTCTTTTCTCGTTTACATTTAAATCTCTCGTTTTGTATTTCATATTTATTATCCTTATTATTTAGCGATATTTAAGATTCATAAAATACATTATATACATAATCAACGTTATCTTGCTTTCAATCTCTGCCTAGACGCTTTTTCATCCATTGCACCTTAGCGAAAATCTGTTATTAGCTCTTTCATACACGCGAATGTTTATCTTCATTTTTATTTAGAAAAACAAAAACAAAAACAAATAAAAAAAAACAAATAACAAAAAAAATAAATAAATAAATAGCGTGAAAATAAAAAATAGGAGTTGACTGTTTGTATTTACCAGATTCAACAAAACGAGGTTTTAAACAAAATTATTTTAAACGTAGGCATTAGATAGGTAATTAATACTTTTATCTTCATTCTCAATATATTTAGATCAGTTCATAATACAAAAATCGAGTTTAAGTATTTATATTTTTAATAACGCTTAAAAAAAAAAAAAAAAAAAAAAAAAAAAAAAAAAAAAAAAAAGACACGAGTCAATTTTAACTAATTACGTCAAATCAAATTATTACACTGCGCTTTCATAAAAAATAAATTGATGGTAAAATCGTTGTCATTGGTAAGAATTGCGATTGGGAAATAATTGAAACGTAAGAATTAATAAATTGCTATTCGATATTATTATCTATTCATTTTTCAATGTACATTAATGTTAGGTACATTTTGAATATTTGAATTGTCGACCCATCGACATTACGTTAAAATATTTCTCGTGTAAATTTTGATATTAAACTTCACGTTTCTATAAGACTCGATAAAAAATTGAGATGAAATTTTGTAAGTATTCATTAAGCTGTTTTAAAAATCGACTTATATTAAATAATGAATATTAGATTGCAGTAATAATTTGATAACAGCTCAATTATTAAAGTCAACGTCTATTTTTTAAAACAAATTTACCTTATATTTCAAGTTCACGATTATTTCATTCTATTTTGTTAACAGCATAAAAGAAGAGGAGAATTCGTTTCCCATGTTACCATTTACCCAGAGCATTAGTACAGCCTCTCTTCTTATGTCTTTCTGTTGAAGTATTATAATTACACAAATATATCTACGGAAGAGAAAGAGCAAGCATACAAAATTATTTAGGCAGAGCGATAAAAGCAGATTATGCGATAATATGAGAAATAAATAGAGTTTTAAGAAAGAAATAAAAAGGCGAAACGAGTGAGACGTATAAGCGAAACAAAATTAAACAAAAATTATGAAAATAAAAGAAACGTACAGTGTCTCTTTAGCCGACCTTTGCACCGAACATCTTATTTTTCTTTTCTGTTCTCATGATCGCTCGTCATCTTCTTTCATACCTTTGATCCAACAATTAATCAATATCATTTCATTTCTCTGTCAATTACACTTTAAGGACAAAAATGCAATGAGTCTTAAAACAATATGTAAAAATAAGATAAAAGTGCAAATAATGCATTATTGATTATATTTATATATTTAATCAAATTAAAGGATTAGGAGGAAAAGTGATTAAAAAACCAATTCCTTCAACTTATGAACATTCCTAATCGTTGCCGATTAACCTTAATTCGACGTATGTTATTAAATGCTTTTATACATATTATAAAACATTAAATTATTTACATTGTTTAACTTACCAATCAATTAAGTTGTGTTACTTAATAATTGTTTTTAATTATTCTCAATGTTTTGATAGCTCGTCAAATTTATCGTCTATAATATGTCATTGCATTTGTTTTTGATTATTTGTAAAATAAAGTGTTAAAAATTGAATTATTAGCAATTTTAATTAATGGCAGAATATTAAACGATGTTAATCGGTAATGGGACATTTAAATTAGCATATCGTGTCGCTATATAAGAATTTTAGTTTTCCGGATGGAATAATTATCGGTCTTGTTTAGTGAAAAGATAGGAGAGAATAAGTAAAAACTTTGTTACGCGTAAAAATAATGATCATTAGGAAAATCATTGACTCGCGCTTAAATTATAAATATTTGTCCAAAGAAATATAAAAGAAAAATTATATGAAATAAATAAAATTACACGCATCATTGTATAGCACTACCGTTTACAAAAGTGAAAGAAGACGCTAAAATGAGCATACAATAATGAATAAAAATATTTATAGTTTTAAATGGATATTAATTTTTGCCATGCAAATAAAAGTATAAAAAGAATATAACGTTTTATTTTAAATAAGAATTTTATAAGAGTGCGATTCTCTCGATTTTCCATAATATTTCAGAAGTATATTACAGAGGCAAAGAATTAACGATTTGAGCATAACGAATGAAAGTGCATAATATGTTACGGAAAGATAAAAAATGCCATTGATGATATATTTTCAACTAATATCCACTTAATGTTTGTTAGTCTATTTGTTGTCTAATAGTCCTCATAATTTTAAACTAACAATAGCGTAAGTAAAGTAATATAATGAAAATTACTTAAGCAAACATATACCTCGTCGATCTATTAAAAAGTTAACTCCTTCATGTTGTAAAGTTGTAAAGTTTATCGCGAAAATGGTTGAATTGATGTTCAATTTGCGCATAATTTCAACGATAAATGGAAAATTAAGTACAGAGCTCAAGTGAATAAAACATAAAATTGAAAGCAAAAGTTAAAGATTACGTCTCAAGTAAATAAAATGAAATCGTATATTTAAGCGTATAAATATCTAAAATAATAAATATAATACAGAGAAAATTCGTTGAATGACAATACGTGTGTTATACGGAATAAATATATTATTGTAATATTGCAAATCATTCAATGATTTTGGAGATATTTCTTCTATTTAAGTAATAAAAACAAAAATAATGATGAAATATGATAAATATTTGTGAAAGTTATAGAATTGACAAAATCTCTACGCGCATTGCTTTTTCGACTAAAGTTGCAGACTTAATATTTATAAGAGAAGAGAGAAATACAGTTACCTTGAATAGTATAAAATAAATTTTTTTTTTTTTTTTTTTTTTTTTTTTTTTTTTTTATTGATTAGAAAGTCCCAAATTTACATCTCATTAAATATTTAACACCTTAGTTGAACATTTTTTAACGACGATATTAATATATTGCGATTTGCGTGTGTTTAAACAATCTTTTTAATATTTTTAGAATTTTCACAACTAAATCAATATTTACATAAAAACGAAATACAATTACTCGTATCTCTTTCTCTCTCTCTCTCTCTCTCTCTCTCTATCTCTATCTCTCTCTCTCTATCTCTCTCTATCTCTTCATCTTACTTATATAAATATGTTCAAAATTTAAAGTACTCCATAATGATAATCATAGACGCTAAACTAACGTACTCTTTTCTACTATTAAATGCGAGGCTAAATCGCGATTATAAGGAAAAGAGAAAAAGCGAGAGTATACGTTACGTAAGAGAATCCTTGCGATCACGAAGTTGAATTTGCATGACTAAAAAGTCTTTAATTTATTACCAGAAAAATATTGATAAAATTTCTACTTTATTTTTGAATAACTAAATATGAAGCAAATGCAAGGTTTATGTAGTAGTGTAAAAGGATATTTTGTTAAACCATAAAAGACAATATATGCGCTTAAATCTTAACACATAATAGATAATTTATAGATCTATAATATTCTTTGCCTTCATTTTCTAAGTTAACAAGTTTACTATAAATTTTAAGACATTTATTTTTCAATTGATTTAATGAATAATTTAATAAAAAAAATCTTATAATTTACAAATTAGAATTACAATACTTTCAATCATTTCTTACGTTGTTACAGATTTTTTTTTTTTTTTTTTTTTTTTTTTTTTAAATAAAAAAAATTCAATTTTCATAATATATTTTGATGGAGGAGAAGATTACTGCTAGCTGGGTTAGACAATTAAATCAGGTGAAAATTTTTCGATAAATATATTTTGATGGAATAGTCAATTATCGGAAGAAAATCCTCGGTATTGAATCTTTTATCGGATATTATTATACAGTAGATAGATAAGGAAAAAGTAATACTTCTTTTCGTATGCGACCTTCGAATCATTGTTAAACATTTATTTTATTATACTTTTATTGTATAATGTTGTATTAAAAAAAAAATTCCATATTAATTTCAATTATGCAAACATAATAAAATTTGTTTAAGGCATGACTTATTGCAACTTATTTTTTTAATGTAGTCAATGTAATTTTTATTATTATATTTCACACAATAGTTTTCTAAGAATATATTAAGAGCAAAAATATTTCGTAATCGGTATAAAATAGGTTTCTATAACTTAGTTTTGTGAAAGGCGCAATGATGAAAAACCGCTGGATAGAGTATTATAATATAATAATTTCTTTTATTCTTACTATATATATATATATATATATATATATTTTTATGGATGTGTGTATAATCAATTTGCATATATCGATGAAGATATATATCTTGTCATTTCATTATCATTTCTTTCTTTGTTTATTACATTTCCATCGACCGACAAAACACCAACACTATTAAAAATAGAATAAAAATCGATATTATAACTATATACATACAAATTGTTATTCAACAGGTATATACTTACACGTTCCATGCCTTATATACATATTTACATTTGCGTGTATTGGTGAGAACTGAAAGTATAGTAGAAATAATTATTTAACATTATTATTGCATTAATGAAACTTAAAGGGCGTAATAATATAATATTGTTACTTAATAATTATAAAGATTAATAATATATGACATTAGAGGTATATGATTATGTGTTAAATATAATCAAGCTACCAACATATATTCTCTGTTCAAAATGACAATTATTTAAACAATTATTTAAAGTTACAAGAAAAAACATAAATAAATGACAAATGTAAATTGTATAGATGAATGGTGCAACACCCTATAAAACCTATACTACCATAATAAAATAATATATAATAAAAAGTATCAACATATACATATATATGCATTAATAAAACATATTGAGAAAATGAATATTTTATTAATGTTATGAAAATATTCTTTGAATATTGATTAAATTCAGTTAAGAGTGCTCTCATCAAAGCAAAAAGTAGTATTTGTAAGAATAAAAAATAGAATAATTGAAGTATAAATTACTTCATGATTCTTGAAAGTTCATAATCTATGATACTACTTGGATTACATTACATACTTAATTTAATGTTCCATACGATTTTAAGGACTTGTACTTTTTTTTTTATATACTTTTATACATTCTCATATATATTTAATATAATTTTAATGTCAATATTTATTAATAATGTTATTAATAGTGAAAAATATATTAGTGCCAAGCCGAATTGATATAATGTGAAAATGTAATTTTTTTTTAAAATTTTTTTCTTAAGAACAAAAATTCCTAGTAATAAATGATATTTTCTTTAGATAAAGATAGATAAAAGAATTTTTAAACTAAAATATCTGCTTACTAATTATTAATTGAATTTTAATATATTATTAAATAAATAAGAATTTAGAACAACATTTATATATTCTCTGTTACAGGGGTCACGCCAGAATATTAAATTTAATTATTTTTAAGTTAAATCATATAAGAGTTCAAAACTTTTTAAATAATATAGTCTTTATTTGTTTTAAAACATTATTAACGAATACTTGAACTTTATTATTGTTATTCCAGAAGTGAAACGCAAAAATGGAATTAGCTGTAGAATCTTAATTTTCAATTTAATTGTTTGTACACTTATAAATATAAATTCTGTTGATATTGGTTAGTATTAATTGCAAATTAATTGCAAATAGCTTATTGTTTTCGATTTAAATAATATAATGAGCACTCTTAAAAGTAAATCATGTTCTTGAGAAAATATATTACTAACATAGACAACAATACACGCTATCATGAATGCATTACGAGCCAAATTCGGATAAAAGAGATGAAAAAATTAGTTAAGAGATTAATGAGATAAAGAAAGATATATATATATATATGTATGTATATATAAATAGATATGTAAAAGCTCATCCTTTCAATCTTGTCTCATCCCAAAAATCAATCCCTACATTCCACGAAAAATTCGGCCAGCTATCTTCGCGCAAATTGCGCGCAAAAGCAGTGTTATGGTCACACGTCAATGTCTATTCCCCCTAGAAGAAGATTGGGAGCGGGAATTGGAGGCCGAGCTGAAGGACTTTGAAGTGGTCCCGGGACAAGAAAAGAGTGCCGAAAGCGCTGTTCCTAATAAAGACGATTGGG